GAAAATATTCTCTCGGCACAAAAATGGCCCATTTGTCAGGTGAATACTTTTTACAGTTTTACTGTTTCACAACACCACTCCCAGCACGCACCCTCTTATATCAAGAAATGAAGAAAATTGCCAAAAACAAGAATCCTGCTCCATAAAATATGCAGTCTCACCATAATTTGCCCCTGATGGAATCTAAACTTGCCCATATTTAAAAAAAGTGCCCCTTATTTGTAAACCCTTCAAGTGTATCAGCAAACAGCCATAAAATGCCCCTTTCCATTTTCATTAGTATTTTATCAAAGGTTTTGCTGGTGAAAAGGGAAAAAGATCCAATCTTTGTTCAGTTATGAACTTATGATCACATACTTCTAGTATTGGTCCAAATTGAACGATTCAAGTCTGAGCTAAAAAGTGTTCCTTTCCATTTTCATTTGTATTTTATAAAGGTTTTGTTCGTAAAAATGAAAAACCTCCAATCTTTGTTTAGACTACTGTGACCAAATTGAGAAACTGCCCCCTATTTTCTGAACCCTTCAAGTTTTTCTGCAAACTCTGACATAAAAAGTGTTCCTTTCCCTTTGCATTTGTATTTTATCAATGATTTTGTTGGTAAAACAAAAAACGAAAACAAAACCAATCTTTGTTCAGTTATGTTCACATACTTAATGTGTCCATATTGAAAAACTGCCCCTTCGTTTAGAACCCTGATTTTTTTTGTTTTTTTGCAAGCTCGAGCTCATATGTGTCCCTTTCCAGTTTCATTTGTGTAAACAGGAAAAAAGCTTCAATCTTTGTTCAGTTGTGAATCTTGTGATCACATATTTCTAGTACGAGTGGATAATTTCCCTTATTTATTAAACTCTTCAAGTTTTTCAGCAAAACTCTTGAGCTAAAAACTGTCTCTTTCCATTTTCATTTGTATTTTATCACACCCTTTGTTGGTAAAAATGAAAAAAGATCCAATCTTTATTCCCATATTTCTTCTATTTTACTTTGTACATGAAAACTGAAATAACAATCCTGTCTGAGTTTAATTACTCTCCCTTTTCTTTCCCCCTTTTTTTCTAGAACTATGCACTTTGTGAATGGGCTTCAGATATCAGGGGAAATGGATAAGGGTTCATCATCATCTTCTTCTTCATCGGGCTGCAGTGGGGCCGACTCCTTCAATGGCTTGAAATTCGGCAAGAAAATCTACTTTGCCGGCGCGTGCTCAGCAGCGCCTCCGCCGCCGCCGCCGTCCCCGGCCAAGAAAGGGCGGACGGCGGCGGCGCAAGGCGGGCAGCCACCGCGGTGCCAGGTGGAGGGGTGCAGCGCAGATCTAAGTGATTCCAAGCCTTATTACAGCAGGCACAAAGTTTGTGCTGTCCACTCAAAATCTCCAACCGTCATTGTTGCTGGCCTTGAGCAAAGGTTTTGCCAGCAGTGTAGCAGGTCTCTCTCTCTCTCTCTCTCAAAAGAACAATCTTTGCTTTTGCTCTGCATTGGGTTGAGCTCGAGCTATCATTTTTTTTTTTCACGGTGATTTTTATGCTTATTATTACTATTATAATGACTAATTCTTACTTTTTTTCTGATTTGGTTGGTTGGTGTTGTTTGTGGAATTGTGATGTATGTTTCTTGGTTAATGATTCGATGTTTTTTCTCAATTAATTGTGTTTTTATGATTCAGTTTTGTTGTGATGTTGGTGTTTCAGCTTACTTTTTCTGTTTGGATGGATTTGAAATATGTATTCTCATGATGATGTGTTGGATTTGGGGTTTAGTTTTGTGAGCTTAGAAAGACAATACTGTTGAATAGGGATGCAAACAAATCGAGCTGATTCGAACATTGAACTTATATCGAGCGAGGATTGAATGTTTCTTCTTACCTACTCTTGCTCATCGAACCATGTTTTACGAGGCAACAATTGGAATTCGGTTATGATGAGATTTTATCCTCTGTTGCAGGTTCCATCAGTTGCCGGAATTCGACCAAGGTAAACGGAGTTGCCGGAGGCGGCTCGCCGGCCATAACGAGCGTAGGAGAAAACCGCCTTCTGGACCTCTCATGTCTCCACACTATGGGACCCTTTCTACTTACGGTTAGACACGTCTTTCGATTTACGCTTAATTGCATCAATGTCTAAATCATAATAATTTCATTTTCATGGCCTTTTTTTGGAAGATGACTATGGCCAAGCTGGAGGTTTTGTGATGGACTTTAGCAGCTACTCATCAAACATAAGCTCCGAACAAGCCATAGAGAATCAATCACCCGTCCCACAAAAATATGATCTTTCCTGGCAAAGCAATTCGCACGATCGTCTTCCTAGTCCCATCCAAAGCCCGAACCTAAGGCTCGGAATACCTCCAGAGGGATGTTTCAATGGGGTACCGAATTCCAACCCTGGTGCTCTCTCTCTTCTGTCAAACACATCTTGGGCCTCGAGAACCCAACCACAAGACTTGGGTTTAGGCCCAAACGATTTTCTCGGGCCTTCAAGCGCCACTATCGGTCAATTTCCAAGCGGGCCGTGGGGCTTTAAGGGCAATGAAGGTGGTGGTGACTCCATGCACGATTTGGCTCCGGGTATGGGTTTTGCTGCATTTTCTCAGAGTTCTTCTAACATGAGATCGAGCAACGAGCATTACCAAGAACATGAGATCGAGCGGTCGAGTGGGTATGATTCCCCAGTTCATCAGATTCATTGGTCACTTTGAAAGGTTTTATTTGATGTTTTGTTTTTTTTTCATCTTCTTTTGTTTTTCCTTCTCATTTTAGTGGAAACAGCCAAACAGGGACTTTGTATTTGTCATTTAATTCCTTCAGACCTAATAAGTTTGAGAGATTGAAGAGTATCTATTATTGGCTTATTGCACAATGTGTGATTTCCATGTCCACAAGGCAGCTGAGTTAAAGGTTATAAATAGATCCACCTTTCAGTTAGTACTCAAGTGATGAGTTCTTGAGGACTGGAAAAATGGAGTATACACAAAGGTCGAAAATCGTATGCCTGGAAAACAGAAAGCATATCTCGACCGAGGTCATTGTCATTCCATGAAAATGTATCTCTTACAATCCAAACACAACTCATGATTCTAAAAGACCACGTGCACTTACTAGAATATGACAAAAAGCATTATTCTGAGATTACAATATAATTCATTCACAAACTGAAAGAGGTACAAGAAGTTCGATTCCAGAGTCCTTGCAAGCCAATACTAAGGTTCGACAAAGATAGCAAGAAGGAACAAAAGTGGTTAAGTTGTACTCGGAGCACAGCACTCATTCACCCTGTAAGCAGTAAAGCTGCCGAATGTTTCCTGATGCTGTCCATTCAAATGTACACGAGCATTAATTTCGGTAAATCATCAGAAATATTTAGTTAAAAATAAAAAGAAAAGGAGATCAGGACATCTCATCAAACTGGTATGAAAATATAACATGAACTTCAAGATGAAACCTAAATTTTATAGCAGTAAGTTGAGAGTGTATAGCTTTAAAAAAATAAAAATGAAAAAATGCTCAACATAGAAGCCTCATCGGCTGGGATTAAAGGAAAAGAAGTAACGAGATCACTTTCCAAGGTACATTTAGAGACTCGTGTTCTTTCGAAGGCATTACCGTATAACCATTCTTTAAAACACGCATGAAGAGCGCTCGACAGTTCCCGTTTCCGGCTATCTTCAAGGTTAGTTTCCCTTAACATCTGCTTAACTTCCTCCAGATTTTTCATCTGTAAGTTCAATAAGGAAAGATTCAATGCGCAAAACAATTCGAAACTATGGGTCAGAGAGAGCAAACCAACCCAAACCAATAAAGAAGGCCACAACTTATTGAACGTACATTTTTCTGCTGAGATTGAAGGTATGCATCCGGTAAAAGGAAGGGGTTGTGCTTAGTGGAACCAGTCTGTTCACCTTCCAGCCAATCTGGAATCTGTGCACGATA